AAGCTAGAGGGTGTGTGGAACATTCCATTTTCAGGCACCTAAGTCTATTCTCTGTCTACAAAGTGTGCAGGTATATGCCATGACCACTACTGTGTATCTTAGTCTGTGTGACTAGGTAGTCAGGCATAGTTGTCCATGTGCACAGGGCTGTCTATTCAGAAATCTAATTTCCCTCGACACGTAACTGCAAAAAATGCCCTTTACATGATCAAGAAATAGCCACAGAAGGCACAGGCTGAAGTGATAATTTTCATCTGATTTGGCTGCAGAAAGTGGTCTGTAGCCATGAACAAGTGCACGGTTGCAGACCACTTAAAAAATGGCTGATTGGGTGAAGATCTGAACCCTTATCTGACCCTCCCCGCCCCCAATGTGGGAGGGCTCCAATCCACCCACCCCACCCTCCAGTGCCAGCTGGGGAACCCCTAGAATGAGCTCCCTCTGCTACCTTTCCCCCTCCCATTCTGAAAACAGGTACTGGCAGGGAGGAAGGAAGGGCCATTGCTAGGGGAAACTGGCTATAGGCTCACAGCCACCAGCTAGATTCCCCTCTCACCCTGGAACCAACAGTGAACTTCTGTTTGGTCCAGGGAATCATTGTAACTCAGATGGTAAACCTCTTCCCCAAAGGAGGACTTCCAGGGGCAAGGGGAGGGACTTTTGGTGGCACTGGTCAGAGGTTAGGGGTGGGATTTCTGGTCCCAAGATGGCGACCAGGGAGCAGGGCACCTGTCAAGGGGTGGGGCTACCCATGGGGCTCTTGACAGCTTGCCAAAACTTGGCAAGCAGCCCTCCTCCTGAAATAATTGCCCTGCCCTAGAATGACTTAAAACCATTTTATTCTTTTTGGCCCTTACCGTTTCTGGTCAGAATCAGTCCAGCAGACTAAGGTGGCAGTAAAGGGAAAATCCCAAAAGTGAACAGCTTTTAAGCATTTGCTGAAGTGGCTAAGCCCTTGTTCCTTCCTGATTTGTTTTCCCAGAGAGCTTAAATTAACACAATATATTCATATCATAAACATCCCAATAGCCAAAGCAATATGTAATATTTATAAGATATCTCCAAGAAGCTTCAAGTCTGCCACATTTTATTAGAGAATTGTGAAATGTACTGCATTAATTTATCTGATAATTACATTGGAAAAAATCTTTGGAAGGTTAGGGGATCTTCATGTGTTCAGCACTTCTGAAAACCAGTCCACTTTCATTTAGGAGCTGAACGGTGCCCTCAATTTCAGTCACCTAGGTTTTAAACTTTTGACAGCAATTCCCTGCTAGTTTAAATACACCCTTTCCAAAAAGGTCTAAACATATCAGCAAAAGACATTAATAAAAGCAAGTAAGTCCTGTGTTCAAAATGGAGTCTGAAACAGATACTTATAGAAATCCCCAATATCAGCCTAATTCTTACATATAAGACAAAGGCAGTGCATAGTCACATTGGCCATGTACACAAGATGCTGACTGTACAGTAGATCACTACTACTGTGCAGTAGCATCATGTGGCACGAAGTGTGATGCAGTGCTACTGCACAGTAGTAATGAGGTACTGCACAGTCAGCGTCACCTAAAAGCCATTCAGCGATGCTACTGCTAACTCTGGTTACTGTGCAGTCATTTAGTACTTGTATACACAAGTACTAAATGTCTATACTTGTATACACAAGTACTAAATGACTGCACAGTAACAACTGCACAGTCAGCATTTCATGTAAATGCAGCCATTGATGCCTACATTTTAACATGCTTCCTTAATTGATTACACCCATATTTAATTGAAAGCTGAAAAATTAGAGCCTGTCTTGAATTGTCTTTGACTGTGTAAATGTTACAATCTTGCTAGCAACTCTCTTCTGTGCAGAGTCTGTATACAGTTTTGTGTTGCTAGTTTCTATCAACTGTGAGTCGCAGTAGTGTAGCTTGCGGGAGCAAAGGGGCACCAGCCTTCGGGCAGTGATTCAGAGAGCGTGCCAAAATGACAAACCCCCGTGGAGCCTGTGCCACTGCTGTAGCCCATGCTGAGAGAGCTTATGCTAAGGTAGCAATAGCCCATGCCATTGCCAGAGCTCCTTTCCTTCCCCCCATTATCCATAGTGCAAAAATTAAAAGTTATGCCCCTGGGTTTTCCTGCAACTCTCCCACAGGTATTCTAGCACCAATGCAGCTCCAGCAAGAGCAACAATTATGGTAGACAGGGCACAGTTTTATAGGCACAGTATTGTCTACCCCTGTTTAACACCGGTCTAAATAGTACCATAGTAAAAACGTCAGGGCTAAGTATAGACAGTCAAAAAGCCTGAGGTTGAAGCAATTCAGTCTTCTCAGGATAATCTAAACTGCATAGATTAAACTGATAAGCAAGTGAACAGACATTTACTTTTGAGTCTGGAAATGCAGTCACTTGCCATAGCCCAGGTGAGAAGCAGGTGGGGTGCTAGAGCACATCTCCCTGCTCAACTGGAGCAGACAGCTTGGGTCAAGAGTAGCCCACCCACCCTGCAAGGGAGGGTTTGTGGGGGAGGTGCAAAGCATCCTGGGATGCTGGGGGACTGTGAATTAACTTGAATCTGGAGGGGATCTGGGACAGAAGTTCAATAAACCAATTTAACCTAAATTAGTTAAGTCTGATACTACATCCATCCAGGTTTATCTTGAACCAGTTTTGGCCATTTTGAAAGCGGTTTATGTGCACTGAATTTCTGTTGTGTTACAGATTTGAACTGGTTTCCATTCACTTATGCTCGTGTATATGTAATTTCTGTCTCTGGCCCCGCAGCCAACCCACACTACCATTCCTACTGTTGTTAGCACTAGGAGATTGTACTTGCAATAGAGGGATAGTAGGAAATTATAGAACATGCTGAGTATAGACAACTTCGTAGAGACCAGGGTCTCAGAGCTCTGGGCCCTCCACATCTGTACAGATGCCAGAATAGGTGTTTTTGCAGGAGGTATTGTGGTTGCTTGAAACCCAGTGTCTCTGAAATGCCAATGGAGAGGGGTGACTCTAAATTGCTTGCTACCAGGGTCCATGGCTCACCACCACACACAAATCCTAAAAGAGTATCAGTGTGTATTTAATACAAATGTCAAGAGCATCCTTCATAACAAGTGTTAATTGTTACTTTTGGATAGCCTTATATTTACATCTGAAAATTAACCATCATATCTCAATAAATATATGAGAACCTGAACTGGCTGGTTTTGTTGCCCATGCTCCATTTCTCCTCTTTCTCTGTTACTGTCTTCCCCTTTATACTTCAGTGGGATTTGTTGTCGTCCGTCCCCCCCCCACACGCACCTTTTTTCAACAGCTGAAAACTTACATAATGTTTTTCACTTTCGTTCGATAAAGATATGTGGGTTAGGGTTACCACAATCATCTAATTTCCAAGTTTTGCTTATGTGATTCTACTTACAATGCAAGGTCAGTTCTTATCTGCACAGAGACACTTAGAAAATAAATCTGAATTACTTGCCCATTTGGGCTGCTGATGGACATGGAAAAAAATGGCACTTAACTTTAAGCTTGGTGTGCCCCCACACCAAGCACAGCGCATGCCCAGAGGAAGAACCACATCAATATGACCCAACTCACCTAGCATCTGTATAAATCACACACTTCAGTGGGTCTTTTTGGTGCTTTTATCTAAATAGCTCAGGGATGTTCAACCTTTTTTAATAAGTGTACCCCTTTTTTGTTGTTGTTTTGTTTTTAGGCGGGGGCGACTGAGGCCCCCACAGTAAGGGAGAGAGTAGGATTGGGGCTAGGGCAGGTAGGTGCTGCACCGGCGGGGCAGGGCGTGGGACAGAGCTGCAAGCTGCTCATCTGGGGGCCACGGGGGGGGGCCACTGCTGTGCGCACCCTGGGAGGGCATGGGGGGGTGTCCCTGGATCTGCAGATGGGGTGGGGTGGACTGCCCCAGAAGTGGGGGAGGGAGTGGGGCTGAGGCAGGGGCTGTGCCATCGGGGCACAGCACGGAACTGAGCCGTGGTGGGGAGTGGCTCCCA